ATGGCAGCTTCGCGATCTTCTCCCTGGACCGCTGGACAGTCTATCTCTCCTGCTGAATTCCCCTCTACCTGGCTCGACTGCCAACAACCATCATCAGGACCGATGTCGCGGACGTCAGTCCGTGATGTGCTTCTGCCGTCACGAACTGAAGTCTGGGCTTCGACAGAAGCCCCCAGTGTGAGTTGCAGCTCTTCCTGCTTATCGCCAGACTCTGTTAAACCTGAATCGCAGGCTTCCACAGGGCCATCGCCAAGTACATGCACTTCAGCATGTGGGACACAAGCCTGCGCGGGTTCAGAATCCATGCTGGAATCTCTGGACAAAGCTCCGCCGTCGAAGCCGTGCATCTCTAAATCGCCATGCGCCAAGTCTACTGCCGCGTTTCCGAGTGCGCGATGTGGGACTCCCGTGCAGTCAGAATTCGTCTCCGAAGCTCCTTCACGCAACTCCATCTCCTGGATGGACCCACGGAAAGAGCCCCGGTCGCAGTCCAGCATCTTCTCTTCACAGGGCTCCTCGTGAGATACAGGAGAGTCGTCTTCCAAGCTCATGCAGAACTCGAGGTGGGTCTGGCACTGCAGCTCTGCACCCCCGCGGCTCGGCCTTGGTGGCACAAACATCAAAGCACAAGACCTCGGGGCCTGGTTTTTGTTAGACGTGCCGAGTCTCTCCAGCGGCTCGAGGTCGCCTTCCGTGAAGGCAAGGGATGTCTTGACCATCTCCGTCTCAGGTTTCACGGGCATGGTGGGAGAACCTTGCGCAGCAAACGACTCAGCTAGCCCACTTGCAAGTCTTATTGCAAGCCGGAGGCCTTCGCATGCCTCGACGCCACGGCACAGAGGAGCCTCCGCTGCCTGGCCAAGCTTTTTTTTTCCCACCCGCCCAGCTGACAAAGCTTTTTCAGGGAGGAGGGAGCTAGAAGCATGCAGCTTTGGCTTAGGCTTAGGCATCGGAGCCCAGAAACAGAGGACACAAGAACCGTCGGCTAGGGCATTGCCGTGTGTGCTTTTTTGAATGACGAGACCAAACACATCCAGACCATCGAACTCCTCGTCCGCGCCTCCAGTGTCTGTGAGCAAGAAACCACCTATGTTTTCACGACAAGGGCAACTCTCTGAAGGAACATCGCTCCAACTGCACGTTCGCAAACAATTTGGGTTGCCGAAAACCCCTTGGCTGTGGAGGCTGTGGAGGTCAGGCCAAGGCACCGGCTCCGCAAACTTCTCGCTACTAGCCGGAAGCACCAGCGGTGTCCGACGCAAAGGCGTCAGTGGATCGGGAGCTCCGTCGCACTCGCCATCCTCGCCCGCCACTTGGTCCTGCAGGGGGGGGAGCGGATGCTTAACAAGAGCAGAGGTGCAGAGCTCCCGAGCTCCTGTGTCCAGTCGGTCTCAGAGACACACATACGTGGCATCATTGTGCTTTAGCGGAATCCCCAAGTGCATGCTGGATCGATGCGACTAAACACAATGCGATGCGACTTAACCCGTTGACCCAGTAGGCCTATATCCCTATTTCACGTTTGATGTGTATCAGAGCACACATCCATGTGGGAGCAGAATGCGTGAGACCCTCTTCAGGTAACAATATAGACCCACACCTGCCTATCAGCGACATGGTGATATCTGGTGATACTCCTACAGAGCTCGCGCCTCAGCAATCGGCACCGACTGCTCGTTTTCTGACTGCGCCAGAGGCGAGCCCGCCTCTGCCGCCTTTGGCAAAGCATCGTTTACCCCAGCAGCTCTTTCGCTCGAGCGGGCCAACGCTGCATAAGCTTCGGCCAGTGCGTGTTTTTCTTCCATGCTGTCGGTGATGTCCGTCAGCTGCAGTGTGTCGTCTATCGTGTCGTAAACACAGGTGCCCCCGTTCGCAAGGTCGCATCCGTTTTCGATGCAGTTTTGCACTCCATGTGCCACGACGAACATGCACGCATTGACAGCGATCTCGGCGACAGATCCTGATCTCGAGTGCCTGTTGCTTATGCAGACTTCACTGGTATCGACAGAGAGGGGATGGTCCTGGCCGTGATGAGGTGTGTCATCAACTTTGATCGACTGGCAAAGGTCTGAGAGAAGTTCATGTAGAGAATGAGAAACAAAAGGTTGCAAGTCTTCAGAGACTCGCGCTTCTTGGACGGTCGTTCGCACCTCGCAGACTTCGTCGTATGCAGTTCTGCTACTGCCCTGCTTGTTATCGTAATCCTTGCGGTGGCTGAGCACATCCGCTGACATTGCGGCATCTTTCACTGAAGTCGTCCCTGAGAGTAGGCGATCCTGAAAAAGCTGTTGTCTTGAAAGCTTCTTGTCTTCTGATCCACCGCGGCGCTTCGGGGCAACCTGCATCCGGGCAGCATCACGCAGCACCCGATGACAGCAATGATAATCCAACCCTGTGCGAGTATCTTTGCATCGATTTGGATCGCCTTCATCTCCGCAATGAAGCTTGGCATTGACCTCATGTCAGCTGCCGTCTGCGAGCTAACAATCTGCAAGCCGTCCACATGGCTTAAATCCTGCCAGAGAGCAGCGGTCTATAGATTTGCCGAGCTCTGGCGGGTGACTCTGCGATCCGGCGTGCCTCGGCCAAGACGGCACAGGCCCACACCCTGATCCCTTAGCTGGGAACACGGCAAGGACCACCCTTTCCTCACGCAAGACCTTTGCTGCCATTCCGCCGCAACCGGCCTGGCAAAATGGACTGGTGAGCTTCACACTCCATTTAGCAGCAGATCCCGGCCGGCAAACTACTGGCTCGTCCGAGAACACGCTTGGCTTCCACGACCTTTGCAAAGCATGACGGCAAATGAAAAAACTTAGAGTACCGCTGGCCCAAGTCGAGAGCATGCTTCCGCAGCTCCTGGAGCATGGAATTCCGCGGCATTCGCACACACCCACAGCAAGTTGCAGGAAGCGCGCTACCGGCTATGACGCGGACCGCCACGGCATGCTCACAAACAAGACGCCCCTTAGGTCTACCTCCGAAAGAACTGCTATGTTCGTGCAGCCTGTGCCGACAAGTCAAACTGGATTGTCCATGGCTCCCTGCGAAATCTCCCCGACAACCTATCCTGGTTGTCCCGAGCAATGCTGGCATTTAGACCGCGCGCCATGCAAAGCCATTCCTGGGCCTCAGCAAAGGCTCAGAGACAAAACAACCCAAAGCAAAAGTCGAGCCGAAATCAGATTCAGGTACACCAACGGCTCTGCGCACTGCTTGTGTGACCTGCACATCCAGCTTCCGATGAGCCATCCATGTGGCCCACGCTACATTGATGACACGTGCTCTGCTAAGCATGCACTTCAGCCAAAATTTGCCACGGCAATGGCCTCGTCATAGACCTTCTTGGGGACTGGGCAGAGCAGAGTTGCGGGCGGAGGATTTGCACCAAACCTGCCCTGCGCTCCACAAGAAGTGCTTTTTTTCGAATTCGCTGCGACGCTGTCTGTACAGCTCGGGAGACAAGGCGTTCATGCAAAAAACTTCTGGAGCAAATGCCTCGTCGCGTACAGAATTAGGGCCAACCTTCGCCACGAGCAAGGGGTCATCTCTTGCGTGGCCTGCAGGGGACAAGGAACCGGGCTACCAAATTGTCATGCAAACCTTTAGGCTCCCAGCGCAGGGCATCCGGGAGAAGTTGCCTATCACGGCCGGAATGTGGTCAATGATGGGATGCTGGAGACTTTGCAGAGATGTGTTGAACCTCCATCTCTTGCAAACGTTGGCGGATTGCACCACTGGCGACCTTGATACAGTAAAGTGGTACGGCAATGGGTGCATTGAACCCTTCCCTAATAAAACGCAACATCGTGTAAGTCTCGCATCAGGGCGGCGCAAACTTCCCATCCATGTTGAAAGTTCGATGCTGGTTTGCAGGGGATGGCGACACAGCCTTCACAGAATGCCCACTTGGTCAGCGGATGTTAGCGGTCACCTGTCTTCGCTCTCGCGCCTTGTCGTCGCGCGAGGCTGCCACACCACTGCCCCCTCGAAGCTCTTTGGCTTGACCAGCAGCTTCCGCCCTCGCCGCTCTGCACGCCAACTTCCGGCGGTACTTGGCATCCGCCTTTGCCGATGCATCATGTTGCATCCACACGAAGGACGAAGGCTTCCAGAGTGCAGCCTCGGCCCGAGTACTTTCCAAAAAAGCGGCTGCCACAGCAGCTGGCCTCAGATCACGAGGCGAAGGGCCGGTTATAAGGGCCGGTACCGCACTTCCAGACAGGTTCCAGAGATTTTGAGAGGCCCAGGACCGCGCATGTCCAGCTGCAGTGTCGGGAGCGGTGCCAAGTGAGAAACCTCACGATGGGACAAAGATCAGAAGCCAAAAGCCCCGGAAACCAGCAACATTCGGGTGTGCTGCGGGCTTCACGTCCAGTGGTGCCTTGCTTCGCCGACATTTTGCGGGAGTGTATCAGAATCAGTATACTGAGCGAGTACTGCATACGGAATGGTGCTGAGGCCTCTGCTGGACTGACCGTAGCTGCCCCGTGCCAAGACTCCAAACAATGTGCCTGCGTTGCCGTGGGCACGCATTACGCCATAGTGCTTGACACTTGCTCACATACAAACGACACAAAGAGACAAACGCAGACAAAAAGACACAAAGAGACATTCACAAGCGGCACAAACGAGTTCTTCCGCTTGATCTTGAATTCTGGCCTCGGCTTGCTTCCGGGGCTTCGAAGTCAAAGAACTTTCTGGCACCTGCTCGGCTTTCAAAACAACTTCGTACTGCAGGGTTCTCGCTTTCAACTCCAGTCTTTATCACAATTCTCTCCCACCTCCACTTCAACAATCTGCGGTCTGGATGGGCCCCATGTTGAGCAGCCTCGCTGGTCCTAGGCGGTTGGGACCGGCTTGCACTTCAGGTCCAGGTGCAGCTGCGAGATTCACCGAGACGTGAACAGAACATCCCAGCGCGCAGGAGGCATGCCCCATGTCAGCTCTTCTATGGCTGCCTCTCGGCTTATTACCCAGCACGTGCTGTTGACTCGGGCGACAAGGTGCCCTCCGCAGCTTCTGGATTCTCCCACAGTCGGGATCACAGAGCCAAAGGCTCGCAATTAAAACCAAGTTAACTCTTGTCCCTCAGATCCAATGCCCCTCGAACATGCCTAATCGTGCATGTCTTGAGATCAAAACAGGGAGGGTAGACGGAGGGCGTGGCAGAACACACAGCTGACTCCGCGACCCTCTGGCAGCACATGCGGACATGCCCTCCATGTTGCAAAACATCCTTTTGTGGTGCCCACTGCCCATGCCTTCTCGTCTCGGTGAAACAAGGGAATGCCCTGTGCAGTCACGCAGTGTCAGGCGGACCACGCGCGATTTTCCCAAGCATCATCTTTTACATGCTGAATCCATTGGAAAATTCTGGTGGCCAGGACCTTCTTGTCATCCGGGTGCTTGTCTGGATGCCATCGCGCACATAATCTTCGAAACAGTTTGGTCTGTTCAGCCTCATCCAGCTTGTGGGAATCTCGCAATTCGACTTTTAACTCGGTGATGATGTTTTTCATCTCTTCGTCCATCTGTGCTTCTTCCGCCCACTCGAAGAAGGTAAAATCCTCCTGACGGTCAGTAGGCTTCTCATCTGGGAAAGTTCTCTGCTGGTCACCCTTGTCTTGGTGAGCTCGAACATCGAAAGGATTTGTGCGAGGCACTCGCTTGCATCGTTTGTGGGACAGAGCCCCAGCTGTGCTTAAGAGTGATTGCAGGACTTCGCGATGATACAGGCGGGCTTGGTCCAATGCAGTATAACAAGGGCGCAAGCATTCCCCGCCAATGCCTTTGGGATTCCATTCATGGCAAACTACATTGACATTACTCCTGCCATCCTTTACGAACTCCAGTAGCACTTCCACGACCGACTGCCATCCTGCTTGCACTGCGGCTATCAGTGCCGTGCGCTCCTCTGCATAGCCGCACGGGTTGCGGGTGAAAATGCCCAACTTCCCACTGCCAATGCAACCAAACTCTGCAACTATTGTGTCTAAGTGGCATCCACAGTTGTTGACCAGATGAAGTACTTCAGACACTTGGCCGTTTTTGGCAGCGTCAACAAGTCGACGTCCTAGGTCTTCTTCTGGAGGTTTGCCCTCGCACTCGTAAGTTTGCCATGCACGCAGTGTATAATAATCATATTCATACATCGTCCGTTCCATGTGACTCGGCATGCCGAAGCTATGCTTCTTGACCAGCAATTGGTTCTCACGATCTAACAGGTCGGCCAAGTGCTTTGCAATTGGAAAGTCATGAAAATGGTGCTGCACAAAATGTCTCACCGATCGGCGGACCAGGATGCGTTCACCAGAATCCTCGTCCCCAAGTTCTCCCACATTTGCGGAACAAGCATAAATTTGCCATGTGCTTACAAAAGAATAGAACAGGTTGGCACAGATATCCTCACGCGACCGCATTGATTTGGCGCGTGCAAGACCAGAGCATGGCAAACCAGTGGTGTCCCGCCGACGTGCCACCAGCATGCGCGTCTCCATGTAATGCCCCGGTGCCCCTGTGCGACGGCATTTGATGGGTCTGCTGCACAGGCTCTCTTCGGTCCGGGCGATGCCATTGGTTTGGTAGATCACGGGGGTTCGATCATCCAAGAAGCCAAAGGAACCATCGCCGTCCAAGCCAGCTCCATCCATGTCATCCGCCGGTCCCAGCTTCAGGCAGGGATTCAACTCACACTTACCCTCCGGGGTTGACAAATATCTGTTAAACTTTCCATGGGTGGATTGCAGCACGAACTGTGCAACATAGAGCTCATTCTCGTGCCTTCGCAAGGGCCGTGCGTTTCTCAATGTGCTAACGGTTGGAACTGCGAGGACCAGCTGCAATCTGCCTAAATCGGTGATGGCTTCATGCAGAGTCGGACCAGTGGGTGACAGGACATCCGCGGCATCGCAAGATGAGACCACCTTCTTGGGACCAGACGATGTTGGAAACAAAGCGGTTGGAATACTATACGGCTCCTGTGCTGGTTTCGCAGCAACGGCCTCTGAAGGTTGGTCGCGGTCGGTCACCATGTACCCCGCCACGCACTCCGACATATTGCAGACAGTGGCAAACCAGTCGACATGGCTCAGAACAACTCACGAAGTTTCGCGAATACACCAACATAAGTGCAATAGCTTAGGTCCCGCGCTGCCCAAATAGTACGCCAAACGGACATCTACTAGCATGCTCTGGTAACCTGAAATTGAACGCCACGAAATCCGCTGGGCACACAGGAGGGCTTTGCAGTTCTCGATGCGAAGTCTAGGAAGCTTGGACCAGTTTCGAAGTCGCACAGCTACGTCCCTGGATAGCACATGCATGCGTGCCTACCGCCAGATGCTTCAGACCTTATACTCGCAAGGTCTCTGTGCGTCAAAGGCTGCCACATCCGCACGAACCTTTTTGCGCGGATGACTCCGGCTTAAGTGGGTGATAAGCGCAGTGGCATTGCAAACAAGGTGGCTTCGCCATGCTGGCTCGCAAGGAGCACAAGAAGGCCACACACAAAACTTCCCAAGAACTATTGCCAGATGAAACCATCAAACATCTCACTGCACGCAGCCGCAGACATTACTGGATGCGCTCATGCGCTTACATCAGCTCGCCCCAGCACTCGTCTTTGGTGCCCAGTTTGGGTCGGCCTTCGGCGAGGCTACATGTCGGAAGACGGATGTCGGGAGACGGTCCAGATGCCGAAAAGTGAGCGTGTCTGTCGCTAGCCGGCACAAATACTCGTGCGTGCTGCAAAGCTGAACTGCAGGCCCCAATGCCGGTGAGCACATGCCGGCCCCATTGTTGAACCTGCTCAACTTCGACGTGGCAGCATCAGCAAGGTAGCCAACAGCCATTTTGCACTCGAGCCTTCGCGCTGGAGTGATGGGTAGTCATCATCATCTTCACAAGGCCCTCGCCTGCTTGCGACTCTTGCGAAAGGAAAAGTGGAACATGACAGCCACGACTCAGCTGGAGCACCTCCTCCGTCCTTTATCTCAGAAACCTGGACTTCGAAAGGCTGGGAAGCGAACCCTGTCGACCCAGGCTGAAAGGAGAGAACTGGGCCGTCGACACATCTAGTCTTGTCCAAATACTTGGCAAGTGCCTGCTGGGCCACATTCGAACCGAAGCGCGCATCGCTCTTTGCTCGCAGCGAGGCCCTGCGGCCTCTAAAGCGGCGATCTGCAACTCGGCGTCCATGCCGTGCTGAGACATGGCCTCATTTCAAATTGAAGCGAAGCGACGCGAAGACCCATGCTATGACAAGGCTCCGCTCTCTCCGTCGGCTTCGGCTTCGGACCGTCTTTGTCAAGTCGATGGCACGCCTGCGAGGTGAGATGCGAATGGAACCACACAGTTGCGGGATATTCATGGCACAGGTGCCTGTGGGAATAGCGGGCTCTTTCTTGCACATCCTGTGGCCACTGCACCCCGCTGCCGAGCGCCCGCACACCCTGAAAGGTCCATGCTGTGCCCACAACGCTCACGAGATTTGCGAATTTGTCGTTGCTGCTGGCCTTTGTTTGTATTAGCGCATCTTGACCGTGGTGGCGCATGGCCTCTTCCACCCGCCTCAGAAACAAAAACTGTCATTGCTGCTTCATTACAATTATTATCAAGACGCGGTCCTCAACCTGGGACCGTCGGGACTTCGGGGCATGCAAACTGCGACGCAGGTATGTGTTCCCAGGGCAGGTTCAGGCCACAGCGGAAAGCGGGATAGGCGGAATGGAAGCTGTTCCATCGACAATGCCATACTTGAAGGCACTTGCCCTTCGAAAGCCTCCGCGCCCGGGCCCCCAAGAAGTCCAGAGTTTGCATCGGGAACGCGATCGGCGGAATACAAGTATCAAGAATTCACACCGCAACATCGGAATTTCCAGCGAAGACATGACCGAGGTCAATGAAAGCTAGCGAGCAAACACATCCAGCAGAACAGAATCAGGAGGGAGGATTGATGCAAGCGTGAACCTTGATGCGATTCGTGCCATTGTCATGCAGGCGCAGCGAGCAGTAAGGACAGAAGGAGGGGGAGGCACCATATTCCGGTGAGCAACGCGGAATCAAATAGTGGGAGGCTGGATGCGACCAATGATGCGAACCTACCATGGCCATGCAAGTGCTGTGAGCACCACAGAATCAGAAGGAGGAAGCCTCAAGCAGCACAGTGCCGGGTGTGCCTGACAAAACGAGGCAAAGCATGGAGAAAGACGAGGGAGGCTTGATGCAACCATGAAGCATGCCGTGATTCGCACCATACCATCCAAGCGTGGTGAGGGATGCTCAGGAGCATGACGGTAAGGATGCCACGAATGATTTTGTCGAACCGCTACCGGGCAAGTGCCGTAAGCACTGTGCAAGAACAGGGAGGTTTGATGCACCCATCATGTCAAGCATTATGATATCCTTACCGTGACCTGGCAACTGTAGAGAGCATTGCAGCAAAATTCAGAGGCCTGCTGCAGCAACCAGGCATCAGGTTCTTACCATTACCAGGCAAATGCAATCAATTATGATGACCTTACAAGTGTGGTGAGGGCACTCCAGAAAGGGAAAAGAGGTTCGATGCAACCGCCAGACATACGGTTGTGCCTGCGAAAACTCTCCCTGGATAATACCTTACCCCCCTATGCACAGACAAGCCTCACGTAGAGCACGCGGCACAACACTTCCCCGCGAACCGGAAGACGTTTTGATTTGTCACTCCTCCCCTTCCGCCCAATATTGCGGTTCCAATTTTTGCCTCCTACATGGCTGAGCGAGTCGCGAAGTAGGGTACAAGCTGTTGACCTGTAAATTCAGCCTCTTTTGGCCACATGCAAGCCTCATCATCTTCAACGAAGCACTCAAGGTATGCTGGAGCTCAAGCTCCCGCACCAAACCAGCAAACAGGTTCATGTTGACCAAATTCGATTAACGCCAGCAAAATGCCGTTTGCGTAGTCATGCATCGGATGCATTCAATTACCAATTACAAATTATGAATTTGAAAAGCAAAGTCATCAGGCTTGAGCACACTGGAACCGCAATGAAAAGTTTAATTCCCCCCTCCACGAACAACCAAGTCCGTTTCCTGCGGAAAAAAAACGGTCTAGCTCCGCCCACCCCCAAATCTTCTGGAGAGTCATCATCACAGCTGAAGCCTAGCTCCTGCTAGCTTTCGTGATCATTCACAAACGGGTAAGCAGTCAACGAGCAGTATGGATCCAGCCGTCACAGAAGAACTGCTCCGTAGTTCGGACCAGTATGTGCATGTGTCTGTGTGTACAACCAGGAAAACATCGGATGCACTGGACTTCGCCCATCTTATCTGAACTAACTCACCACGGCATGCTGCCAGCACTTGCCACCGACACAAAGAACCGGAGACGACTGGCTTAAGCCCGATAAGGAAAGCGATTCGCGGCAGGCTGAATCATCTTTGACAACAAAAGCATCTCTGCCAAGATGGCTGTCTTCCAAAGTATCGCTGAACCAGCTGATGTCTACATAGCCACGCTACAGGGGCCTTTGGTGTGGAAATGTGCGGAACAGAATATGAAAGGCAATCCTGCAGGCTTGGCCCGTCCAAACTCGGATGTGCGAGCAAGGAGCTCCATGCCCCCAACATCTGCAAACGCTCGCAGACCAGCCTGCAGCTTCGGCGATAGCCCACCCCTGTCACTCGGGCGCATGACAAGCTTCGAACCCATCTGTTGCCGACCAGACTCGACCTCACCAATTGAACAGGATCGGTTGTCCGGCACTGCCACTGCTACGGTACTGATAATGCTTGCTCATCCGCCAGACCAGACTCAGTCTCAGAACAAGCAGAGTGAAAGCAGGACTAAGGTCGACTCATCGCCTCTATCCCGGTCCTTAGCTTGCAGAAAGCTGGAGCCATTGCCCGAATTGGCTCGAATGACAGAGTTGCGGCGAACGACACTGACAACAAGACAACAAGGAAGCATAAGCCATTGGCAACTGCACCATGCTGTCCTCAATGAAGCGCGCCATGATGCTGGCAGCGGCTCGTATTGCACCTGTGCCGAACACGACACGGGCTGACCCATTCTCGCTCAGGGCTTATGGAGACCGTGTTTCTTAGCCCGTTCTCTCCTGCTTCAACAAGCGCTGCTGGCAAATCTTTCACTGTGTCGTTTGGGGACAGGATCTTGGCCTCCCAGCAGAAACAAGTCGTTCGAAAAAAGCTCTCGCCAAGCCTTTCTTGGCGCATTCTTCTGCACTGGGTCAGCGGCAAGCGCTAACCAGCCAACTCCATCTAGTGGGATCTTGCACTCCTGCTCGCTTTTTGTGAAGCCCTGCCAGGTGCGATATACGTAAGCACCACCGAAAGTTGACACAATGTTCGACCATGCGTCGTAACAAGCGCGCACAGGTGCGCCACGAACTAGCGGATGACTTCTGAAAATGGCCAGCAGTCCGATGGATGGCTAGGCCGCGAAAACTCGTGTTGCCTCTTTTGTACACCCTTTCAGCAGCCACTGGAGTCGGTGATGCATGGTGTGCCTTTACAGTTTACCGCTTTGCGAAATCTAACAGGTCTGCATCCCTGCCAGCTGGCCAGCCGAGCTGCACAACATACCGTAGCTGCCGCCCAAGACCATCGCTCTCTACTTAACTGTGAACACCTCCTCGGGCGATACTTGAAGTTGCCTTCTGGTTCGGTTGTCTCTGCCATCTTCGCAAGCCGCAGCTGTCAAATAAGTCTCATTTCAATAATGAGTCGTCCATAACGCTTCTTGCAAAAACAGACAATGCAACGGCACCAAATTCTGAAACAAAACACCTGGCCTACGATAGATCTTGCCAGAACACACTTCCTGCTGGCTAATGGCTAATCGCCGCAACATCGTGCAAGAGCCGCCGTGCCGCAGAAAACGATATAGCAATAAAGTCTAAAATAGCGCAAGCCGTAGCTCGTTGGCACCGAGCCCCAACCTCCGGAAAAAGGCAGATACCAGCTCAGATCAAGTCCCAGAGCCGCAGCCAAAAAGTGGGTTTTCATGTGGATGCGCAGTAATCCCCCCCCGCCACAGAAGTAACCTGCGAGCTACTCAAGATGGATGACTCTGATGGCCTCTGCCGCTTGCTTTGCCTCTATGACCTCGAGGGGCCAAAACAAGTTCGTCAACACGTGCTTGCATGAGTGTACAGGAACTTCGTCGGCGCACCTCGTTTGAGGAGAGTTGCGCCATCAATTGCGGCACAATTTCTTTGCTTGCGGCCTTTCTGCAACGTAACTGCTGCGTGAGATCAGTCTCATGATTCAGAATAGCTGCTCGAAGCCTCGCCACGGCAAGCTGCCAAAAACAGTCCGCATAACGCACCGGTAGAGCCAGACGGCAGCTGCACCGGCTGTTCTGGTGGTGGACCCCCACCTCGGCATTGACCAGTCCGTCGCTGAACCCTGCCTGTATGCTGAAAGCTACAACACGACCTGCATGAGTTGGATCTCTCAGGTCGTTTTTGCAAGAGGAAACCGAGATATGCATCTCCCTTGCATGGAAGCTATACTCACAAACTATTATAAATTAGTAGTGTTCCTTTGTGTTGTGATGCTCAGTTTATACAACTTCCACTGACGGCCACTGGCATCATAAACCAAAAAGACTTGGGCTTCCAGACAAGCCCTCTACATACTAGCGCGCTTTCAACCATTTCTGCAAGTCTGGGTGGTTGCGTCCCAGTACCTGAGCATGCCCAAGCGGACTGCTAGTCAAAACCAAGCCCAAACTTGGCACAGCTATCGTCCGCCTGAAGATGACGGGTTTTGTTGTTGTTCCAATGTTTTCTTGATGATGTTGCTTTGCGATGTTCTGAGGCACGAACCGTCACTGTCCGGCTTGACCTGAACGGCCGCGTGTTCTCAATTGGGTTGAACAAGGCACGAGTCTTTTGCACCTCTGCTGCGATGATCCTTGCCAGGGCCTCGCTGGCCCTGGCGCCGATCTCCTTCCCACACCAGACGTCGCAAGCACCCGTCCCACTGTTTGCAGAAATTTCATGCTGACCCGGCCAAATTGGGCCAATTGTCCATGAAATTTGAGAACCCCTGAACAATGATCCCCTTCGTGCTCGTGCTCCTGGCGAACAAACCTTACCGGGTCTTACCAACAAGCCGGAGGCGGGTGCTCGTCTGCGCTTAGCGCTTTTGTTTCACGTTCGAGATGAAACGCATCTGTGCAACCGTTACTGAATATCGTAGCGGAACCACAATGCGATACAATCATCAGTCAGGCATACCTAGCTCACATTCAAGCCATTCAAGCATGCTGAGACTGCCGGGAAAGGTCCTTCGGCTCCGCTTTGGATGCCATCGCTGACAAGAGCTGGCCCATGACCTCTGCGTGCGACTTGGTAACACACAGTAGACACGGAAACAGAAAGGGTGAAAGTGGGTGCTTGTGCGTCTGCCTGTCTCTGTCTCTCTGTCTGCCTGTCGGTCTATCAGTCTCTCAGTCTCTGAGCCTTTTCTCTCGCCAGGATTAGGATGAGGAGGGCAATCCCTCCCCATCGCGCGCATGTGCGCCCCCGACTGGTGTGGGGCGAAGTGTTAATTTGGCAACAGCGGCAGAGAGCATGTGCCTTGGGGATTGGGGTCCAGCTGCATCTGAAGGGAAAGGAAATGAAAAGACAGATGGCTCACCGACAAATTAGAAAAGGTCCCATTAGGGGACTGGAATATGTAGTTCACGGAGGCTCCAGCGGCCCGTCAGATGAATTTAGCAGAAAGAGGATCGATTACCTCGGAAGAGGAGCCTGGAACCAACCGGTTTGCGCACCATGGACGAAAAAATCTTCGGGGGTGCTTCCCCGCTGCACAGCCTCACTCACTGCTTGTAAGTCACCTGGTCCTCCGGCTCTTTTGAGACCGGGCGTTCCTGGCGGCATCTTTGGTCTAGATTCCCTGCTGCCTTTCGGCCACTCTGTGTGCTCGATAGGCAGCCTTGCTCTCAACTTTGTGTTGCTTCCATTCTTCTTCCGGCAAAATGGGCAGTCGTCAACGTGTTGGCCCCCATGCAAAGCGCAACCAAGTTGATGAAGCACCTTCCGCTCTGTGGCCGTGTGCCCCACCGGTTCATTCGGCCGGAGACTTTAGAGAGCCAACGGGGGCTGCGAGGTCGAAGGGGTCGGTGGCGGCTCCACCGGTTCAGTCGGCCTGTAATCAGAGACAGTCAGGGGAGGTTGCGAGGACGTAGTAGTCACGGTGTCCTTCTCATCAAACTCTTCGGGTTCGCTTGGTCGGAAGCAAGTCCGAGGGAGGGCTGGCTGACGATGATGAAGACGAAGCACTGCAGGTTCCACCTCGTCCTCGGTTCCAGTTTGCAAGTGCATCTCCGGCTTATGGTTGCTGTTGCTGCACTCTGCGGTCGGTCATGGTGCAAGGTCAGCTCCGGTCATCAGTGGCTGCGGACCCCCTGGTTGGGGCGCAGGGTTGCAGGCGGTACTTCAGGTTCTCTCTCTGTCTCTTTTTCTCTGTTTGCTTTGCATTGCTTTGCTAGGGGTTTAGAGTTAGGAGGAGTGACCTCCCAACCCGCGCCGAGGCGCATCCCCATCCACCATTCTGGTTGAGGGGCTCAGCTGTGCAGCGGAGTTTCCAAACGAGCACCATGTGCCCCATGTGGGGGTGCCTGCGTGCTGGCAGAGGTGCGTGCCACTATTTCCGGCAAATCTGTGTGTACTGGGGGCGGCATCAAAAACATGCCTGAAGTACCGGCCGAGAAGAGGCTTATGCTCATTGTGGGCACACCATTCTGTTGGTTAGGAGAGAGGAAACGGAGGGTGCCCCGAGTACAAATTAGTAGGTGAGAAGACAGCAACCATGTAGTGAGAGCGTCTCCACTTTTTGCGCGTGCTTCGTGTGTGGTTCACGGAAGCCGGGTCCCGGCTCTTGCAAAGGTAAACTCTTCAAAATTGTGTAGCCGCCGTCCTCGCTGGCCAGGTGCCCCTACTTCACAAGCTACTTGCGCTTGTCGAGCCTGATGCCCATCTTGATCACCTTTTGTGCTAGGCCTGACTTTGGAGCTGACTTGTCCCGCTCAACTGTCCTCGTGTTTGCTGAGGGTGCTCCATGTACTCGAGGTGGCAGTGCTGGCTCTGCAACCTTGGTGTGTCCTGGAACCCACTCCGTCTCAGGTTTGGGTGGACGGGTCCCTGGTCCGGGGCTTCTCTGTACCGCGGGTTGTGTGGGTGCCCTTTGTAGCAGGACTTTCTGGTCGTACTCCTCGATGGCCCTTCTCTGTGCTATTGCCCTGGCGCGAATAGCAAGTTCTTCTTTTGGTACTCCGCTCCGTGCTGACGAGGACGCCGAAGAGGTACTCGGTGCGGCGGGGGCGGCCCCCGCACTGACGGGGTCGACTCCCTGGAACTAGGTTTTGCGTTCCGAGCTGGACTGCATTGAACTTGGCTGCTGTTGGGTCCCTGCGGCCTTGGGTGTCTCGTCTTCCCCGAAGTCCATAATGGCCCAGAAAGCTGCATCTGACTCTTGTTCCCCAGTGTCACGAAAGATGTACTTGGCGAGCTTCGGGTGTACCGGTGGTTGCGGTTTGCCCGCTGCCTTGCGCTTCTTTCCAGGCCCCCGGGCGCCGGTAGAGGAGGTAGAGCTGCTGCTGCTGCTGTCTTCTGGAGGTAGGTCTTGCTTCTGGTCGGGTCTCGCCTTGGCCCTGGAGTGCCCCTGCTTTTTGGGTGTCGCCTTTGACTTCGAGCTGGCAGTTGCCTGGGGTCGAGTAGTAAGTCGTTTCTTAACGGTCTGCTTCGTTGTCTCCTCCTCTTTCTTCTTGGACTCCCGGCGTTGGCTCTGTGCCCCATTTTGCTTCTCGGTCTCGTGGCGTTGGCTCTGTGCCTCCTTCGGTTTCCTGGTTTTGTGTTGCAGGGTGTGCTTTACCAGGATGCCCGTGTGGGCTGCACCTGGTCTCTTTGCCGCTTCTTGTAGGAGCTTGTGAGCTGCCCCTCCACGTGCTTGGCTCTGGTAGAGTACACAAGGTGGTGCCCCGCGGTCGTGACTGTACTGTTTGCCCCCTGCTCCTCCGCCGACTCCGAGTAGGCACCTAAGGCAAATGCGCTTGCCATCCACGAAGACTGGGTCTGGCGCCTTCGCTGGCTTGCGGGGTATCGTCTCAGCATCGTCATCATCTAGTTTTGCGTCATTGTCAGCTGTAGGTGTTCTCCGCGTTCGTGGTGTCCCTGCCACTGTCACGTTCGTTACGGTCTCGGTGTCCCCCGCCCAGTCAGGTATTTCTGTTACGTCTTGTCGGGGTCGCCTTCGAGGAAGAGAGAAGCGGTCGGTCTTCGAGATCTCGTTGTTCCCCTCCGGAGCGATGTGGTACTCCCTCTGGTGGTGCATCTTCACTGGGAGGTCCGCCGTCACATGGTATGTCGCCCCCCCTACTACCCCCGAAGGAGCAGAGAAGGCAGATGACTTGAGCCAAAATGGCTACGGCTCTCTCTCTCTCTCTCTCTCTCCCTCCCCCGGGCATGAGGGTCGGTCAAGAC